GCAGGGAAACCTCGGGTGTGTTTACCTGTTCCTTTGCCGTCTGCCTCGAAAAAGTAGTAAGACATGGCAGCCAGAGCGTGGAGCGCCTTATCAGCGCCGCCGCAGCAGGCCCCAAGAACAAAAGAAGGGTTTTGGACTTGGCTGCGGTGCCAGCCGACAACGCTGCTGCCGCCCCCCCCGCAATACCCAGCCACACAATGCAGATGGCTGCGTTTCGCAACCGTGCCAGCTAAGCCCAGCTGGAGGGCGAGAGGAAATAAAAATGTGCCCAATCTTATGGAGAAGTGAAAAGCAGTGCCAAGGGGACCATTGCCCCCCCCCAAGGTGATCTAGTCCAGCCCTATAGCTGGAAGGAAGGCCAACCCCTCCCTCCCCAAGCGCCCCTCGTTTTGAACCATGGGGCCAAGCCAAAGAGCTGCCCGGTGGGGCAGAGGGCAACGTCTGCCACAGGTTGGTCCCCGGAAGCCACCCTACCTCCCATCAAAAGCAAGGCCTGATTTCCTTCCTTACTGCAGGCCATCATTCAACAGGCGGAGCAGGACAATGGACCTCTTTCGGAGTATCACTGCATCCTTCATTCAGAGCAATGGTTCTCAACCTTGAGTCCCTAGATGTCCATGGACTCCAACTCCCAGAAGCCCACACCCCTCACTGTGCTGGTCAGGATTTCTGGGAGTTGTAGTCCAAGAACATCTGGGGACCCCAAGATGAGGAACCACCAGTGCAGAGAACAGCAAACCTGCCCCTTCAGGCAGAGCATGCCGGGCAGTGGATCAGACGGAAGAGCCAGGAACAACCGGCCTCGGGACCTGCAGAGTCCAACATCGAGGCCTGGAGGAAGCCCCAAAATAAGGCATACACGCAACTACACCCTATAGGACGACATGTTCGCCAAGGTGAATTCAACACCGTGCTTCCATGATTGTTATTCACCCAGCTTGTCCGGCCAAGGGCTCCTACAGATACACCCTCTGTCTGTATGGTTTGCCCATCCTTGATGAGGGCAGAAGGCTCCCGGAGGGTCTCTCGCTCAGCATTCCTGCAGAATCCTGAAGCTGGCCCTCCTCCCCACAGAATCTACCTAACCATGTGCCCCCTATCCGCCACCGTTAAGGTACCTGGGGAGCAAACCGTTCTCAATCGAGGACACTGAGATGCAAGGAAAAAAAACAACATCCATCAGGTAGATCCATCAAACTGAGAAGACAAAAAGGGTGTGTGTGGGGGAGAATTAAGGAAAAAATAGCTGACAGTCCCAAAAGAGTAATAAGAAACTTTGCAAGTCAACAGTTTGGGAGACGAGAGAGACCGGTGTATCAAAGATAAATGAGAGATGAACTCACAGACATGCACAGGGGCACTGTAGTAGTTATGATTTCTTGTCTTGCTAAGCTTTTTAGCCTCCCCCCCTCCTCTGTCCTTGCTAATTGCTCGGGACAATAAAAGTTAAGTGGGTAATTAACGCAGAAAGACAGCTGGCCTTTACTCTCTCTCTCCCTAGAACTGTAGGAGGCAGCTGTTCCCCAGCACTCCTGTCTGCCCCCAGATGTATTAGACTACAACTCCCATCACATAAACACATGAGGATGATGGGGTTTGTGATCCAGCACATCTGAGAGGCTCTTTGTTTGCAAAGGAAGGAAGGAAAGGCAGGCTGGCTTTTGCAGTCCCAGTCGTCCGTGGGTGAAATCGAGTGATGTAGGATTTCCCTGCCGGACATATTTAAGTTTAAAAGAAGGAAAGCAGTTTTTCTTTCCTTTCCTTCCCCCCCCCCGCCTTTCTTGGCAGGTTTACTCTAACTCAACACTTGCCTAACCAGAAGTGATTTAACAAGGGGGGAGGGGGAGAACCTAGACATCTTTCTGCAGACTTTTAAAGTCCAAACGAGCAGATGGTCAGTAGCTTTCTGTCTTCCTCTCTGCTCTCATTCTGCTTTCCCAAAACCAGAACAGGAGGATAAAAGCAAGCAATAAATACATTTTTTTAAAAAAATCTGATTCCTGGTTTGGAAGTAAAGCCTCGGTGACCCATCTGAATCAGATGCAGGCATCTCTCTGTGCATGTGCTTTTTTTTTTTGCACACAAGTGTGCCCTGCAAAGAGCATTTCATTTCAATGCAATGGCAGAAATCACCCTCTCCAACCCTGCCTGTCCAAACTGAGCTTCCTAGAGAAAGAGGGCGGGCAGGAGGGAGGGAGCGCCCAGGAACATTTGCAGTCATATCACTCTGAATCCGAGATATTCAATTGCTGGGGCTCCTTTGTCTGACTCCCTTGGCCTTAAGCCAGGGTACTGGCATGAGTGCTAGCAAGAGGAAGAGCTGGTATACAAAGCAGACAGAGAAACCATTTTAGAAACTGAGAAGCTTTCTCTTTTTCACCCTCCACCCTGCTTCCCAGTAGCACCTAAAGAGGTTTTAAAAAAATAATAAGATGATGAATTAGCAGCTGCACAGATTTAAAAAAAAGAAGAACAGTTTGATACTCCTGGGGACGCAGTCTTCTTTTGGGGAAAATAATACATTATGATTATCATTCTCAGATATTGTTACACGGCGTAACAGATTTGGAAAGTGACTTATCTCGCTGCCTCAATCCGCTCTTAGATGTGGCAGATGGCTCTTTCTCATTGCCAGTGCACCCAAAATGTCGTAATTGCACTCTTATACAAAAAACGTAAGACAAAGGGAAGCATTGAAGGGAGGGGGAAAAACACCCCAAGCATTTAGACACAAGTTCCGGTGGAGTTAAAAAAAAAAGGGGGGGGAGAAGGGATTCCATTGAAACCTCAAAGGTCCTGTTGCTTCTCTCTCACACACACCCACACCCACACCATCCCATCTTATCTGGTTTGGCTTGGCTTTCCATTTGCAACAAAGAAAGGATTTTTTTTCTGGGGAATCTCACCTTGGGAATGTTCAAAATACACTGACATTCAGCCTGAATAAGAGGTCTCGAAAGAAAAATCTTTGCGCAAAGCCCAAACACACACACAAAAAAAACACACACACAAAATAACTTTACCCAGGAGATAATCCAGGAGAGCAGCTGGAATGTTAAGGCTAGCAGCCATCCGAGCACTATCCTCAGGGGAATTCTCCCCAGCGAGCCCCACCAAGAAGGAAAAAGAACATAAGAGACCTTGAGGCAGGAGCCCTGACTTAAGATAGATCGCTGGGCCCAAGAGTTCTTGTAAGCGGTACCCGAAGCTTCAGCCAATGGCATTTGACTCTCAGACAATCCCCAATGTAATTGTTTAAGCCTGTGTGTGTGTGGAAACACATGTGGCCTTCTGGAGGTGGTTGGACCTCAACACCCATTATCCCCATCCACATGGCCTATGGCCGGAGATGATAGGGGCTGTAATCCGGCTATATTTATAGACCACAAGGAAGTGAAAGAAACTTATAGAGAAAAAGTTAGAAGTGAAAGAAAGAAAGAGAGGGAGGGGGAAGGAAGGAAATAAATAAATTGCTTTTGCTGTAGTTGATACTTGATGATCAAGATTCTTTTTCCTAAAAGGTTGGAAATCTGAATACAAGGGTTTTGCCTGTATCACTATCTTGATTATATGTATAAGGGACAGTTTGGTGGGTTTCAAACCAGCCACTAAATGTGTGGCTGATTTAAAAAGCAGGAGGAGGATGCAGATATTAGTGGGATGATGCTCAGCCTCCCTCACTTTCTCTGGGGCCATTCCAGGCAAGTAGCAGCAAAACAGAAGAAACAGCAGGTGCTTTTTTACTTGAGAAAAGTAGCTAGCAGGGGTTCGATCCTTCATACTTCCAGTTAAGCCTATATTAGACTGCAGCTGATTAAAAAGTTTGTGCCCGAGATCCCGGAAAGCCACTCTCCATGAGAATAAATAATGGCCCACATCAGGGCCTCCCCCAACCAAGTACCTTCTGGATAGGCTGGGTGCCAACTACTAACACAAAGTGGCTGAGGAGGGATGGAGTTTGTAGTCCAACACATCTGGCAGGCAGGAGGTTGAAGAAGGCTAGGTATAATATATAACCCTCTAAAGCACAGGAAGACAAGAATATAAGGACTGTCCAATATAAGGATTGGTGTAAGTACACCCCTAGCGCCCCCTCGCCAGGTGCTTCTGGGAGACAACAGGGAGGAAAGTAGATGGTAAAGGTAGGGTACTTCTGAAGCTGGAGGTTCCATTTTGCTCCCCCCTTCCTTGAGTCTCTCTAGCCCCGATTTAAAGCTACCTAAAGCGGCCCGGACTCCGTGCTGCCGCTCTGCCATCGGCATTCAGGGGTATACTGCCTCTACGCATGGAAGTTCTACACAACCACTATAAATGAACAGTCTCTGGAAGGCCCCCCCCGACTTTTCAAGGGCTCCCACTCTGTTTCCTTGCCTAGGATTATTGCTTCAGGGAAGACACTGGGTCCTAGTCCCGAGCAGAACTCAGAAAAGTTACTTCGGAGAAGAATGAATACGATGAGAGGCCGGAGCCATTCCCCACTGAGGATAACGTTCTGGGACTGAGCATCATCCCACAGATGATGACACTATATGCAGAAGAAGCATCCCTCTTAAAAGCAACTTTCCGAAGTCGACACGCAGAAGGAGGTGCGGTGAACTCATCTTTCAACAAAATCCCAAAGCATCCCGGCGTGTGTCTCCAGGAGGAAGAGGAGGCAGGAGCAAGGATGCCAACGGGCTCTGCCTCTGAACATGTGCAGAGTGCCTGCCGCCCTTCTGGCAGGGGGACCTTCCCAAGGGCGCCTCTGAGCGCATCTTCTCGGTCCCCGACTGGTTTAAGAGCGGGTCTATGGAGAAAGGATCCCCATGGAGTCCCAGGGGGGATCCTCCCCCCCGATCCGATCTTTTTTGTGTGTGCGCCTCCCGGGCGCGCACTTGCGCCGGGCCACCAGCAAGCGGCCCTCCACGCGCCTCGCCTGGATCCGGATCCATCAGCCGCTCTAGGGAGGGAGGCGATCATGGAAGGGGAAGTGGCGGAGAGTAGTGGGGGGGGGCGGTGGGAGAGGAGGAGGAGGAGGAGGAGAGGGTCAGGAGGAATCCCCACCAACCCAACCCAGCCCAGCCCTCCCGGGGTCTCTCCTCTATCCCTCTCTTCCTCCCCAGCGCCCCCCCCTCT